AGAGAGAGAGAGAGAGAGAGAGAGAGAGAGAGAGAGAGAGAGAGAGAGAGAGATTTTCGTGGAGGGGAGGGGGGAGTGCGGCTCCTCTGTATCGGAACTCTTTTTGCTATAGCTGTGACCGTTGTTCTGAGCGAAAGAAAGAGAATGAAAATAGAAGTCTGAGTTTTTTCGTTGGGTTGTAGGGCATGTGGCATCATCTTGCTGGCTTCGAAGTTAGTTTTTAGTAGTTGTTTACTGAAGCACTATGTTTGCGTTCGCACGCGTGTGTATAGAGTGTGTGTGTGTGTGTGTGTGTGTGTGTGTATGTGTGTGTGTGTGTGTGTGCGTAGCTGCACTGACTTTACTTGTTTTATTGACAATTGTGAATGGAGTTGAGAGTTCTAGTTGTTATTCTTTTCATTGAACCAAGAGCTTAGGAATATCCATCAACTACGTTAATGTGTGATGTACCCATACTTGCGACTTCAATGTGTCACTTGTATGTTGCCCTCTTACCTCGAGATTCTAAGTTATTTCACGCACTGACATTTGAATCAGCTTGAAAACAACTTTACTTGTTACCTCGTCTAGTTCTCAGAAGGTAGCATCACTTTTCGAGGAAGAGTGTCAGTTTGCTAAAGGCATTCGTCTCGATACTTGAGCAAGCTTCAAACCTTCTAGCTAAATATTTAAAAGCAAAGAAACCAAAGATATAAATAAACTTCACAATGAATGCAAAACCCATTACTCTATCAGCATTTTTTCAAACCAATTACCATTCAACATAAATGCGCTTGTATATGAAATGAGACTAATAGCAGAAGCATACAATCTACATTTAGCAAACAAGACAAATCAGAAAGCCTCAGCATACAGTAGTCCACAAATCAAAATGTTGCACACTAGAATGTATGCTCCTTCAAAGTTGTGCGCGCGCACGTGTGTGTGTGTGTGTGTGTGTGTGTGTGTGTGTGTGTGTGTGTGTGTGAAAGAGAGACAACGTAATTTATGGCGGTCATTGACCACGCATTGGATCTCTGACCCCTGTGATTATTATGGCTTTGCTTTCCGGTCAATTGTAAGGAAGTCAACGGAGGGCACTGAAAAGAACACAAGCAAGACTAGTGAGAAAAGGACAAGCAAGACTTCACGAGTCTAAGAGTAGTGTTTGAGCCACACCTGTGATTGGTGCTCCATGTCACTCGAACCAACAACAAAAATGCAAATGAGATATGTAAACCGTCCTTCAGGACATCCGTTAAAATTGGAACGATACAGAGAAGATTGGCATGGCCCCTGCGCAAGGATGACACACATAAATCGAAAAATAGTCCAGATAAAAAAAAANTTTTTTTTTTGTTTTGTTTTTTTTTGTTTTTTTTTGTTCTGGTTCGATGGGACCACGGATCAGATAGTAAACTGATCAGAACAGATGCTACACTTCATTTTTATTTTTTTTCAACTACGAGCGGAGGCCTGGGGCCAAGTCCCACTAGCAGCACTGAGCTACCTCAACGCCTGAATCTGGACTCTTTTGGAGAGATGTGCAGAAATGGTGTTGAGTTTCCTGAACTGCACGTCTCCACAAACACGTCAAGATTCAGGCGTTGAGGTAGCTCAACGCTGCTAGTGGAATTTGGCCCCTGCTCGTGCACTATCATGATGTACGTTTCATGTGGCGGGAAAGTACACATATTAAGGCCTGGCTCCACCACGCATTACTCTACATGCATTTGGACGCTTTCAGGACCAGCTTCATTCGGACGAGTGAAAAATTCTGAATGAACTGTGCCGAGGAAGATTCCACTTATGTTGTGCAGTATTATATAGTGGAGCCAGGTCCTTTCCTTCCGTGTGCTCAATCAGTTCAAATTCCAATAAACATGAGCTCAAATTCCAATAAACATGCCGTTTCCTTGGGGATCATGCACAAATCAAGACTAGAGGGACGATGCAGAGGTCGCATCAGCATGTCCCTCATCAACTGTGAAACGGTCCCAAAAAAAAGAGAATACACCTGCATTCCAACCAGTCCGTTCAAAAAAAAAAAAAAAAAAAAAAAAAAAAAAACAGTCCGTTTAGTCAAATTTATAATATCAAGTTTGTTTTATTTCCCAGCTGGGCGGCTAAGGGCGCCAGCAATCAATGAGAACAACATATGGTAGAAAGTATTCTCGATTTTCTTGACAGTGCACGTAAGAATTCATTTGCGTCGAAAATAGCCTGAATCATCGTCCTATCATCCCACATTTTCTTGTGTTGCTCATTCTTCCCCGTTGCTGGGGTGTTTCGTTTTGTGGGCCTACTGTATGGTTCTGTTTTTTCGACAATGGATATGGTAGATTTGTTGTGGTAATCTTGTCTGCATCCCGGTTGGTTTTGTCCCGTTATTCGGTCTAAGCAGGTAGCGGTGCTTTATGTAGGATCAGTCATCCGGGTTTTGTACTGTCTTGGCATCCGGGTTGGTTGTTTCCCGTTGTTCGGCCTTTTGGAATGCGGGACGATGCTTGTACGTGGGAATCATCATCCGAGATTGTCTTTTATACCGGTTCTCCGGGTTCTTTTTGATTTCTTGCACACAAGCATGTTTTGACATCCTGGTTGGTCTTGTCCCGTTGTTTGGCCTGTGGGGAGGGGCGGTGCTTGCATGTGGGACTTGTCATCTGGGATCTGTTTTGTTGCCCCCTGTTCTGTATTATTTGGCAGTTCCCTTCCTCTTTTCTTTGCCTCTTTGCCTTCTGGCTGTGTGCAAGTGGGTCGATATGACACACGGGGGTGGCGGCAGCCGCCGCTCAACCTACATCCACGTGGGCGGCCTTGTACACAAGAGGTTCTTTTTTTTTTTCTTTTTTCAAAAGCTATACTCTTCTSTCAATTTCACCTCACACTACCTACCTACCACTACTCCTAATTGTAGGCATACGGGGTTCCCCTAGCAGCCAGAAGGGGCTGCTCCAGACCTGCAGGTGGGCGATACCGGCTAGGGGACAGCCAGTAGCATCAGGAACCATGCCAACAGGACCAATCCCTGTGCCTCCCCTCAGGTCCCCTCACCTACGAACATCAGCAGACTCTGCTCAATGCCGATCGGGGGATCCAGTTGTCTATCTCTAGGTGGCGGGCGCAAAGCATGCCCAGAAAGGTACATCAGGTGATGGGGATTAAACCCACAACCTCCTGAATGCCACCTGCGAGCCTTACTAACCGAGTTTGACCGCTGGATACGGAAGAGGTTCTGAAAGGAAGAAGATAAGAAAAGAGAATTCCTTTTTTCTTGTTTTTCTTTCTTCCTTTTTTTTTTTTTTTTTTTTTTTTTTTTTTATATTCTTGTCACAATATATGCTCTCTCTCTCTCGCCCCCCCTCTCCCACCCCCCGGTATTCTACCCTCAGGACTCCCTTCGTCGCTGACTGCCCTTCTTGTTCTTCTCTCTCTCTCTACTAGCTATCATGACGGGCAAGGTGAATAGCGAAGATCGTTTGCAACCTGCACGGCCAAATGGCAACAGCAAGCTTTGAATCGATCCTCCCATCCTAGGTCCTGGTCCTCAAAGGCATTCTTTTCCCTATCGATACCTCCCATCCCAGGTCCTTGTTTCTGCCACATTTTCTTTGCTATCAACAACAACTTTTTTGCTATCAACAACAACTTCAAAGAGAACTTTCTTCACCATAGCATCAATGCCAGCAGTGGATGACGGGAGGTCATCGCGTGGACCACCCCTCCAACTTCGCTCAATCCTTTCCTCCACCAAGTGAGAAAGACAGCACGTTCTCTTCCCTATGTCCCTCCGATTCGCGGTCCTCCTTTCTTCTCCTCCTGTTGTGCACCTGTTAGCACAATCTGCAAAGGCAACCACCATACAACAGGACCTCAATGAGCATTGGGATTATGGTTATCGAAAGGCGGCATGCATGATGAGATCGTATACGACCCATTCCAATTGAAATAACACATCACTTGGTGGCAATTACCATACACCGGTCTGAATGCGCCACATAACTGATTGCGCTCATGTTCATGACGCAGTCAATGGGACGAGTGGATAGGTTGGGTTGGAGAGAGTTGAAGCTTAGAGTTCAGAGTTAAGCAGAGGGGTACGACACACAGTCATACAGCTAACACACCGTCGCGAGACATGACACCACAGAGTTGCGGCTGCTGTGCTCGCCTTCCCGCGCCTGCTGCAGTTGCTGGCCGTTTGCCCGTCGATAGCGTTAGGTTGCGTGATGATGGTGGTGCCGCGGGCTCCTCCATGGGGACGGGGAAGGCGGTCGGAATCTGGACCAGGTTCAGGGTTGGGATTGCGGGCGAGATGGAAGCGGCGGCTGTGGACTACCCCCGCGCCTCGGGAGGCAGCAGCGCCGTGGTGACAGTCGGCTTGGCGCGCAGTTCGGTGGGCGGCGATCGGACTGGCGGACGATTACGATGGTGGAGGCGCGTGCGGCGGCGGTGGCGGAAGGAGATGGCAGGGGTGAGGGGAGCAGGAGAGGAGGCGGGAAAGATGCTGCGTGGCGGACGGTGGTTGCGCTCCGGGGCCAGTGGGAGCGGGAGAGCCACAGAGAATGTTCTACGGCGCGCCTTCGCCGACTTCGAGCCGTCATTGTCAATCGCCGTTCCGCTCGATGGTTGGAACGGTGGGGAAGGAGTTGATCTGTGTGACGAAGTGATGACCGAGAGTTGCGGCGGTTGTTTGGGTTGGAGAGAAGGGACGGTAGGAGGCGGGGAGGAGGAGAGAGAGGAGATAGGAGAAGAGGAGGACGAGGAGAAAGGAGGAGACGGTGACGTGGCAAGACATGGCGCGACGATCGTTTCAACTTCCCTCGTCGTTGTGGGATTGCTCGCGAGCGGCAGGGCCGAAGCCGGTGATTGGCCGCCGCGGAAAACGGGGCCTGAGCGGCGGCACCTGAGAAGGCGGGAGGACTTGCTAACGGGGGAGAGAGACCAGCAATCGGCGGGCGACCGGTGGATGTGGCGGAAAGCCGGGGGGGGGGGCGGTGCGAGCGGCGCGCGCGCGCACGAACAATCACCGATCATCGTTGCAGACAAGGAGAGGATGACCTTTACGATCGACTTAGCGGCCGCAAAGCGACGGATGGATGCCACGTGGCACTGGGGCAGGAGGGCGATCGGACGGACGATGGCAGGTGTTGGGGAGATGATGGGGGGCAGGGTCGATTTGAGCAACGCGGCGAAGAGCGCTTCGAGCCGCGTGAGAGAGGCGAAGCGCGCCACAAACGTTACGGTCCGTAAGTATCAGAGGAAACTGGAGAGGCTATCTCAGCCGTTAAGGGCGAGTGTGGTGATCGGTCCGGATGGAAGGATACGGGCGACGACACGTGGCGAGCAGGCCAAGGCTTGGGGGTTGCTTCTTGTGGGAACCATGATGACGATCTTGATCGGTAGATGGGTGATCGTGATGGCTCGGCGGAACCGATGGGGATGGGAGGAGTGGTATAGCGACGACGATTATCGCAAGAATCCACGGAAGGTGGTGCGCGACCGGTCGCTTGGTGGAAGGGAGGTGGTCGTCGGGGACGGGGATAACCTATGGCAAGCACTGAGAGCGAGGTGGAATGGGCGCGGAAGAAGCGGGGAACCGGGCGGAACGACGGCGGAAGGACGTCGCAGCAGGACTGCCAGCAATGGCAGAGTACAGCGAACCATGGGACCTCTGGACGAGGCGGAAGATCGTGCGACCGCGAGGTCGGAGAGAGTGTTATTTGCACGCGCCAAGCGCCCGGGTGCTGTCTCCGCAGGCACTCGCAGGAGAGGCAGGGATGGGAACTCGAAGCCGCCGTGGTGGCCGTCTTCGCCAGAAGCAGCTCCGCGACTGCCTTCGGAAAAGCAGGACAAATGGCGGGCAGAGGCTGAAGGTGTATTGAAATGTGAGTATACAAACACACACACACACACACACACACAC